TGCCTCGCCCCGCCTGGCAGCAGCTGCATGACTCTCCTCATAAAGAACAGTAAGCTGCTTATCTTTGGCTCAGCCCGTCCCCGAAATGTAGGTCTCGGCTGTACCCCGCGTCGGGTTCCTGCTCCCATCCTGGTCTCTTTCCTTACCTTCAGAGCCATTCTCTGTCTCCGCTTCCACGCCTCTGTTCCCTCAGCGTGCAGCTGACCGGCTCCCGCCTTCTTTACAGCACCCAGCCTTGTGGGGGACCCTTGTGAGCACCAGCCCCCCTAGCCTGTCCTCAGGCTGCCTTCTCCCTGCCTGTCAGCCACAGTTCCTGCAGACATCTCTGCCTCATCCACTGCTTCTTCCCGGTCTCCTTCCCTGGGTCTTGCCTTATTCTCCTTGACCCCTAAGGGTTCATGTTCACCAAAGTTTGGGCCTTAGCTGTCTTCCCGCTTTACTCTTCCCAGAGGATTTGCTCTGCTTCCTCCTGAATTTGAATGTTAGGCCAAACTGTCATGTCAAATGGCCCTCTGGAGAGCAACACCTCATTTTCAATTTGCTGAAAATTGACTACATTTCCCTGTTCCTCATGCCTGCTCTTCCACACAATCCCTCACACTTTTCTTTCTTTCTCTCTCTCCCTCCCTCCCTTCCTTCCTCTTTCTTCTTTCTTTTTCTTTCAGCTGGGTGCCCCTCCCTTACCCTTTTTAAAATGCAAAACATGGGGCGCCTAGGTGGCTCAGTCAGTTGGGCAACTGCCTTTGGCTCAGGTCATGATCCCGGGGTCCTGGGATCGAGCTCCACATCGGGCTCCCTGCTCAGCAGGAGGCCTGCCTCTCCCTCTCCCTCTCTCTGCAGCTCTGCCTACTTGTGCTCTCTCTCTATCTCTCTTAAATAAATAAAAATCTTAAAAAAATAATAAAACGCAAAACATGCATTGCGTGCCAGCACTATTCTAAGCACTTACAACTCTCTGAGATAAGTATTGTTATTACTACCCGCCCCCATTTTACAGATGAGGAAAAAGAGGCACAGAAAGGTCAATACCTTGCCCAAGTCTCCTAGAAGCTGTCAGTTTGTGTGCTCTTAAACAACTACAATACTCTTAAAACACTACAGAGATGGTGCTCTTAAACAACCACTACATGAAATTACCTTCGAATTCAAATTCAAGTCTTTTTATTACACTTCTTAAACATAGATACGGTCCAATATCAGAGTACTCAAGCGTATCAAAGAGAAGCCTCTCTCAACTTCTCCTTATATGGTCCCGGCCCAAGTGCTGGTTCCCCTTCCCCAGCAAGACGAAACTCAGCCCCCTCCAACCATCACTATATTTTGAGTGGCTCTTTTCCCATTAACCTTCCACAGAATTCATAGCTGGTGACTCCCTGGCATTCCCTGCCCCTGCCCAGTTCCAGAAATCTTTGCCTTTTGAGGGACCAGGGAAGGGTGTGGGGGCAGTGATGCTAAGTCCATATGGATTGAGGGGATGGAGGGGTTTCAGGCTGTGCCTTGGACCTGGGATCTCTGTATCACTGGTTGCTGCCATCCTTCCCCAGACAGTGGTTCTGACATCATGGTGAGTGACTGCCGCCGCAAGGAACAGATGAGTGATTGTTCATATACCCGCTCTTCTCCAGTGTTTGGCTTCTGGATATTTTCTCGATGCTGCTTCCGGGAGTTCTGCAATAACCCCCAGAACAGAGTCTTCTATATTCCTTAGAATTTCTGCAGAGACTTTAAGAATAAAATCCTGCCAGTCGCCTTTCATCTTCTTGATTTCCAGCTGGCTGGCACAGCCAGAACAACTTCCAGTTCTTTCTACCAGCCCTCCCAGCCTCCAAGTTACTGGACCCCAGCCCTATCTGCCTCTTATTTGACACCCTCAACAACCCCTTTTCCCACTCTATCCTTCCCCCAGGCTCCCTCTCCGGAAGTCTCTGAGTTTTGCCTTCAGGTCCTCACAATGTGACAGCTTTTCTCCTCTCTTCTCCCACCTCTTGGCTGCTTCTTAGCCCAGCTTTGCCCCTTCTCCCACCATGGGCCTCTCTCCCAAGTCCCCAGCTGTTACTCCCAAATAAATTGGTGTGCAAACTATATGGCTTGTCTGTGTCTTCTGGTAGTGGTGGAGGCTGAGCTCCTGCCTGACTGCCCTGCTGTGGGGGCAGCTGAGGGGCTCCCAGCTCTGCTGAGCTCTGCTTCTGCCCCAACTCCATGTCTTGGATTCAGCTCTAGGCACAAAAAAATGAAGAGGAACCAAAGCACTCCTGCAGGGAAGGCTGGAAGGGCAAGGGGCATCCTTGGCAGTGGGGTCAAATCCAGGGCTGTGTGAGAACTGGAGGAGAGGTCTACAGCGGGGAGAGGTGCTGGTGGGAGCGGAGCTGTGAGAGGCCCCAGGCCCAGGCCCAGGCTGAGGGGTGGGATGCTCTGCGGAAGAGCCACTAGGTCTCGTGGAGCCCTGGCCTGACCCCAGGCTCAGCTTCCCTTTTCAAGGATGGTGTGGGAAGTTACTGCAGAATTTTGGGCCTTGCATTCCTCAGCCTCTGAGACCGTCCTCCACTTTGACTTGCTAGAGCTGTATAAACCTAGACTTTTACACTGAAGTCAGAGGTGATGGAGAAAAGTGGGGCCAGACAGAGGGGGGGCACACTGAAGGTTTGGACCTATTTTTGTACCTCCAACTGCTCCCTGACCTACAAATTAATATCGGTGCTTCCTGCCAGAGCACAGGCCATTAAAGGGGCCACGGAGCTCAGTTAACATATGTGCAAAATGTGTAAGTGAAACTATATGCTGCATGATGCCATTTGTTATCAAGCACAGACAAAATTCCTCTAAGCAGCTACAACTCAGGACAGTGGCTACTGCTGAGTTGGGAGACGTGCCTGGGAGGGTGCACAAAGGCAGCTTTGGGTGCTGATAAAGGCCTTTATACGGACCTGAGGACTGGTGACACAGGAGTGTGGTTTACAAAAATTCAAGTTATGGTGTATGCAAGCTACTGTATGTTTTGCTAAAGACGTTTAAAAATAGGCCAAAAGGGCACCTGGTTGGCTCAGTTGGTACAATGTATTGCTCTTGATCTTGGGGGCATGAGTTCGAGCCCCATGTTGGGGATAGAGATTACTTTAAAAGTAGTAATAGAGGCACTTGGTGGCTCAGTTGGTTAAGTGTCTGCCTTCGGCTCAGGTCATGATCCCGGGGTCCTGGGATTGAGCCCCGCATCAGGCTCCCTGCTCAGCTGGGGGTCTGCTTCTCCCTCTCCCCCTCCTCCCTCAAATAAAATCTTTAAAATTTTTAAAAAAATAGTAGTAATAATAAATACATGCATACACAAACACCACAATCTGTATCTCTGTCCCTAAGGCGTGTGTCTATTTCGAGGGCTCTAATTTTCACCTGTGCACACACACACATGCATTCTTTCGATCCCATGAAGTACTATTCCTCCTTGACAGGTGACCAAAGTAAGGTAGAGACCAACTTATCCAAGTGGCAGAGGAGCTCGGATTGGGTCCCCCAACCACAAAGCTGCACTACTTTTCAGAAAAAGGTTTCACAATCCCAGCACTGGTTTACAAGATTCAGAAGGGCAGGCACCTAGCTGTACTAACACCAAGCCCAGAGCAGTGTGTTTATTCCATGTATGGAAAGTTATGCATATTCATTATTGCTTTCTGTATGCTTGTAGTTTTTCAAATGAAGTATTAAAATGAAAGATCGAACCACTGCAGCTCCAACCATGTATCTCTGAACATCCCCCATGCCCCAACCTAGCTCCCTACTGAGGGGTCCTGGGTGCCAGGATCCTAAAAAGAACTAACAACAGGCAAGAACCCAGATCCCTCAGCACCTGGTAACTCTGAGATACAGACCGGGGCCCTTTGGTTTGCTCCCGAGTTTTCCTGGTTCAAAGGAGAGTTTTCCACCTCTGTTAGATGGAAAACCCTGATGTAACCTGGGTTTTAACTTTCTAGGTTTTGTTTCTAGGGCAAGTTTTTTTTTTTTAGTTCAAGATTTTATTTTTAAGTAATCTCTACACCCAACGTGGGGCTCAAACTTACAACCCCAAGCTCAAGAGTCACATGCTCTACTGACTGAACCAGCCAGGCACCCCTGTGGGGCAAGTCAAAAGCTAAGAGAAGTCATAATCCTCACAGCTGAACAGATCTCTAGCCAAGCAGAAGATGGGATGGATAAAGGCTCTTAAGAGACAAGCCATGAGAAAGCCACAAAGGCCAAGAGGAATGGGCCAGGCTGTAGATGGTTTGATCCCCATGCCCAATCAACCTTCTTTCACTGGTCTATACTTGCCCACACCTGAGCCTGACCCCATAAACAGTGTGACACAGATTTAGCCCAGTCCATTTATTGTGGAGGTTGTGGAGAGCAAGCAGGAGATGTGCAGAGCAGGCCAGACCCTCTCCTCTCCTCTCCCCTCCCCTGGCATCTACTGAAGTGGGTGTCAGGACTCAGTGATGCGAAGTGAGGCTGGGGAGACCAGGGACTGCAATGAGAGGAGAGAAGCAGGCGACCAGGGCAGGGGTGGGGGTGGAGGGAGTGAAGCAGGGACAGCGCAGTGCTAGTCAGAAAATGTGCACGCAAGTCTCCCCTTCATTCTTCTTGCTGCAAGTTCAGTCTGGGTCTTAAGATGGGCATAGGATGTGATCTACAACCAGATCTGAATGGAGGCAGCAGTGACCGGATTGACAAGGGATTGGCAAGATGAGGGGAATGATGGACTCCGATGACAGGAAAGGGCACGAGGAAGCCACTGTGCCTTCCCCAGGCCGGCATAGGCAGACTCTAAACTCATTATTTTCTACGAGGTCCAGCACCACTAGTTTCTGGGAAAGAAAAGACACCAAAGCCATAGTCATGCTGGAAGTACAGCGGAAGGCAGGCCAGAGAAATCACAGGGCAGAGGACGTGGGTGTTTTAGGAGGGCAGCGCAGGGGGCTGTGGTGTTAGGGGAGAGATGATGGAATGCAGTGAAATCCAGGAAGGCTAAGGCATCAGGGCCCCACCCAGGGAAGAACCAAAAGTCCCGAGCTATTGAGGAACAAATATATGCGACGCAGGTCAGCAACGGAAAAGTTCAGGTTCAGGGGCAGGATGGCCGGGGCGTCCAACCCTTTGGGCTCTTTCCCAGCATGGAAGCTGCGGATGGGCAGTGAGAGGTTCAGAGCCTGGTAGAACCACTGGATCTGGGACTCGGACAGGGGCAAGGCCCAGGCCCCAGCTGGGGGATCAGGTGGGGAGCTGTGGAGTTGGGGACTGGACCAGGAGTTGCAGTAATCGTACTGGCAGCACTGGGCCTGGTACCAGTACTCCGAGAAGTAGGTATTGCGTTTTTCTTGGCAGCGGTAAGAATTATACTGTCCACAGCCTCGGATGAAGAAACGAATCTTGGTATCTGGAGAAGAGGGAACAGCTAATAACCCCCGCTGCCTCCCATAGTCCCCAACCCTTTTATCCTTACCCTAGACTCTCCCCATCCCTCACCCAGACCTGACTTCCATCCTAGACTCCTTCAGAAAGGGCCAGAAAAACTGGCTCAGTGGATCCCCCAGAACCCTCGACTCCTCCTTCCAGGATCCTGCGGTCTTCCTCTTGCACCCCAGGCCCTAAGCAGCCCTCGTCTGAGAGGAAAGGAGACCAAGCCATGGGCTATCCCACCAGCAGCCCCGTCCTGGGGCTTGACTCACCATAATAGATGGTGATCACCATACATGGCGATGGGGTGCTGATGGTGCACTTCTCTGAGCCTGAAATGCACCCCGTAGAAGGGTCTTCTAAGAGGCAGAGGTGGCAGGTCCGGACTTCAGGAACGGGAGCTGGGGAAGCAGAAGACAGGAGGGATGGGAGTGTTGGCTCATTCCAAGTTCTCTGCCTTGCAGGGAGCCCGTGAACCAGGGCTACAGCCCCACACCCTTCCAGGACTCAGTCACTTCTCGCTCCTTGCCCCTGGGCCCCACTTACCTTTTCCCACTGCGAAGCCCACCATGACCAGCACACCTACAAGCATATGGGCCTTCATGATGGAATTCTGGGGAGAAGGGCAGTCCCTGGGGGGTATCCCGAAACCCCACCTTCCTGTGACCATGCTCCTTGATCCTGAGCTGCAGGGTGGTTTTGACAGTTTGAGCAGGAGCTGTAGACGCAGAGCTATATTTCTTGGCTGGGGGAGGAAGTTATTAACTTGGCTGGAGGACAGCGTGTCCTCACCCACAAGGTCGGGTTCCTGTACGTGGGAGCAATGGCCCAGACAACACCTGGGCCTTTATCCAGCTGCCTATCTTTGTCCCTCGTGCCCTGAAAAGATCTATTCCCCCACCTCAAGGGTCCATGGATCAGCTTCTGTCTCTGGTACCAAATGCTGTCCTCCCCACACAATAGAACTGTCCCTATTGTGCTGGGGGAAAAATTTGGCCAGGGACCCTGGGGCCCCAGCCTTCTGAGATGAGCATGTCTTAGCTCCCCCAGCAGGGGGCGCACAGACACCACCCAGCAGCAATTCTGGACCTTGTCCCTCTCTCCACCCCTTACCAGCTGTTTATTTCAGGACCACTTGCCCTGTAAAATCAAAACTGGAAGATGTTGTTGTTGATTATATTCCTTACGGTACAAATATACAGCCTTAGGTGGCCAAAAAAGAACAGATATGTCTCTAGACTTCGAAATCTGATTTGCCCTGGGTCTTTTCCTTGTGGCCTTGCACATACTAGAAATTCTGCTCTACTGCTAAAAACCTCACCCGAATCCACTGGGCACCAATCTGTGCTGGTTTTCAACTTGAGGAGGGTGGGCTGGGCCATGAGGGCCCCTGGAATCAAGCAGACCAGCACCCTCCCGTCCCCCAACCCCAAGCACCAGCAGACCAGCTCATGGCCTTTTCTTCCACTTTATTTCATATTCCCACCACAATAATGACTCCTTTAATTTAAACTAAAAACCATAGAGGGTTCCTGAAAGGGTGGCAGCAGAGGATCGGAGGTGTCAAAGACTGAGGGACAAGTGGGATGGGGAATCAGCGAATCGTCTTGACTGGGCTCTTGAAGTTGCTGGCGGCTTGGAGCTGCAGCTGGTAGGCCATTGGATGGATCTTGAAACCGTAGAGCCTGGGCAGGGGCAGAGGTCAGAGAGGCAGCAGGGTGAGCCCCACCCTGGCCCTGCCAGTGGCCTGAGTTTCCACCTCCCCACCCCAGCTTCTCCATGAGTCTGCTCAGTGCTTAAGGACAGTGGCTCCCAAACGGATTCCCTCCAGAATATTGGGAAATGTACCTTAAATAGCCATTAAAACTCAAATTGTAGACTACATTCAACACACACACAGACATACACACACACATAGGTATGTGATTGTATATTTGTGTGTATGTGTGCGGATGAGCACTTGTTTCAATATAGTATCAAATTATTCTTCCTGGTAAACATGATGTTCCAGGAAAAGAAACCACACTTTTTCCTGGCAAACGATTGAACAACCAAGATGATGACAGCTACCATTTAAAGGGTACTTCAGGTGCCAAATGTTTTTCAAAGGAACTCACTATTTAAATATACCTTATCGGTCAGGTACTATCATCCCCATTTCATGGATAAGGGAACTGAGGCACAGGGAGGCAAATACCTTCCCCAAGGTTACTTGCTCTGGAAGAAGCAAACCTCAAGAAAGGACCATGCCCTGTCCTCCCTTCTCTCTGGGGAATCCCAAACCTTTCCTTTGACCCTGGGTGACTCTATCCCTGCTCCCCACCTGGGCACAAACTGGTTGGCGGGCCGCTTGGGCCGGTACTCGGGGTGCACCATGAAGAGCATGTGAGGGAAACCGGTGCCGAAGTAGGCGCCGTCCGTGTGATGGTGCCTCGATGACTTGGGTGTGTACACGTCCATGCACTTGGGGCAGTAGAGCTTCACCATGGCCTCACCTGGGATGTCCGAAAGGCCTGGGAGACAGCCAGACTCAGCAGGCCGGGCACCCCCAAGCCTGCCCCACCTCCCTCCCAGACTCAGGCCCAGACTTGCTGAGCCCCAACTCCTTCCCAGGAGGGCCGGCCATTTGACGTGGCCTCCTTTCCCTTCTCCAACACTCACCGATGGGAAGCATTGGCTGGTTCTCACAGTACACACGGGGACAGTAGCCAAAGTCTCCCTGCTGGTACTTTTCCAACTGAGGTGAATAAAATGAAAGGAGTTGGTGTGTAGGTATAAGAGAAGGGGCAATCCCTTCGTCAGCCCAACCCACATTGCTCTGTCCTCCACTCCTGCCTTTCTGTCCAGAGAACCCTTCAAGCTGGCCCAGATGGGCCCTCATACTCCCCTGCTTCCTTTCCCCCAGTTAGGCAGGTTACAGACCATCAGAGCCATTCGCTGTTTGTTCCCTGAGGAAGAGGCAGACTGCAACAACTTCCTGTCCAAGGTCACGTCTCCCTCCCTGTAAACACCTCAGTCAGCACAACCCCAATTAGGATTTAATTCCCAGGCCCCGTATCTGGGGTTCTTCCCCTCTCCTCAGCCATATTCCTTGACAAGGTTGAAAACATGTGACTCCTCACTGCAGGAACCTCTGTTTCCCTTACTGCCTCAGAGGAGTCAAGGGGGAGCAGAGAGGCCTCACCATCTGGGCGATGCCACGGTTGGTGAGGATATAGCGGGCGTGGATCAATCCATAAAGCATCTCGGCTGCCTGCTCAATCAGGTCGCTCTGGTTGGGGTTGTCTTCCAGCTCTTCATCTGAAACATGGCCCCAGCCAAATGCTCTTACACCATTTCTCTTACAGCTTTCTTAGATGTCCCACCCACCTCCAGGAACTGCTGGCTACACAGTTTGTCTGGCACCCATCTTTGAGCCACCCATCACCTGGGCATCTGACCCAGAAACATGGGCCTCTGGCCCTTCCACCAACCCAAGGCATCTCTGCCTTCTCTCTACACCTCTTTAGCCTTTACTTTTTTCTCTCCCTCTCAACTCTCTCCTCAACGAATAAATGAAAGATATCAACGCAGAAGATGAAACTCTAGACTAAAAGGTGCAAGGCAAAACAAAGAAACAGGAAATGAGACCCATGGGGAAACTAGCATTAGGGGATAGAACCAAATTACAGGATCAGAGTGTGGGAACAGGTGGTGTAAGTCACAAACCCAGGCAAAAGTCAGATGGGGGACCAAAATGAAGGACAGGACTTTGGATAAAAGGAGTCAGAGAACCAAAAGAAAATTTAGAAATTCAAGAAGCAGATAAACAAGGGGCGCCTGGGTGGCTCAGTCGTTAAGCGTCTGCCTTCGGCTCAGGTCATGATCCCGGGGTTCTGGGATCGGGCCCCGCATTGAGCTCCCCACTCGGCGGGAAGCCTGCTTCTCCCTCTCCCATTCCCCCTGCTTGTGTTCCCTCCCTCGCTGGGTCTCTCTCTGTCAAATGGATAAAATCTTAAAAAAAAAAAGGCAGCAGATAAACAAGAATATGAAAAGAAAAAAAAAAAAACCATTCACACACAGAACAACCCTGAGGGTGCCTCACCAGGCTCCAGGTCCAAGATCATGTCTAGAGCTTGTCGATAGTGAGGAACCTGCTCATTGAGTCCAGTGAGATTGAATTTGTCCTGGATGTAGTCTTCATCCACCTGTCAAGATGTGGAAGTGAAGAAGAAACCCACAGCAGAATCCTCAGCTCTGACCTAGGCACATTGCTCTAATTGATGCCTTATTCTCAACACAACTGCTTCTGTTTCCCCTCATTCCCCAATTCCAACTCAGCAGAACTACTTGAGGCTCTCTCCCCAGTTCACATACACTGCCTTCCCATAAAAGCCTTGGCTTTTCTTTTAAACAGCTACAACAATCTCCTCCTTAAAGAAAACATTCCTTTCAAAAATCCCTGTTCCTACTCCTGCCCCCCATCTCTACAAATCAGTTTTATCCTCTCCTTGGGGGCAGCTGGATCTCTAAGGAAAGTGGAGACTGGGGGTGCCTGGGTGGCTCAGTCATGAACTGGCTGCCTTCAGCTCAGATCATGAACCCAGGGTCCTGGGATCGAGACCTGCATCGGGCTCCCTGCTCAGCTGGAAGCCTGCTTCTCCTTCTCCCACTCCCCCCTGCTTGTGTTCCCTCTCTCTGTCAAATAAATAAATAAAGTCTTAAAAAAAAAAAAAAGTGGAGACTGAACAGCTTGGGTCCTGTTGGCAGTTACAATCCTTTGTATTACCAGCACACAACTTTGCACATTACAAGACATTTTCACAAACAGCATTTTAATTCTAACAGGCTCCCAAAAAATGGACTACCAGTACCACTCTAATAATAATAACAATAAAAGTTGACTTGTCTAATGTTATATAATATAATAATAATAACAATAAAGTTGACTTGTCCAATGTTACATTGCTGGAGAATAACAGGCTTGGGACTTGGGCAGTCTTGCCACTTCACAAGTTAGTGAGGGGGGTTACTCAAGGGACTTTTCCTTGACAGGTAAAAGTTTCTATGGCAGCCTGTAAGAGAAGTGTGTGGAAGCTAAATATGTGGGAAAATATATAGCCAAACTTTGTGAGGAGATGACTGGGAGGTTGAGGAGAACTCACTTCACAGAAGAATTCATTGCCACGGAGCCCACAGAACCAGGAGATCCAGGACACCTCCTCTGAGCTGCTCATCTTCACGTCAGCTGGAGAAAAATAGAGTGTAAGTAAAGCCCAAGCTCTCCCACCCGGGCTCTGGTATCCTCCCTCCTCCCACACTTTGCTCTCCAACCATGGAAGAGTTTGGGGTCACCTTTCCTTAGAAGATCCTAGACGCTGGAGCACCCCTCTCCAGTTCCTGTTATTCACACCTTGGCCCCTTTTCTGAGATTAGAGATTCTCTATGGAGTCCCACCACTTTCGAGAAACCGACAGGTCTTGACCCACCAGTCTTACCCACACCCCTAACGCTCCCGAAGACCTGCCCCCTTCCTCTTCATGTCAACTCCGGCAGGGCCCTCGGCTCGAGATCCCTACCCCGCAGGTCTGCATGTCCCCGGCGCCTTTCCCAAAGGTTTCGAAGTTTATCCTTTCCAAGCAAAAGCTGGGCCTTTTTCTCTCACGGCCTGCGGGTGGCCGTGAGGGCGCTTTCACAGGAGTCCCCACATCCCGCCTCCGCCTCTCAGGCCATCCCTCCCTCCCCCAGTGCCGGACCGGGTCACTTCCTTCCCCACCCCCACATCAACGCGCGGAGACCCCATGTGCCGCGCCTAAGGACAGGGGACTCGGCGCAGCGACGAACTCAGACTCACCGGCTGGACGGGGACCGGGAACAGGGTGGGGGAGGGGAGTTGCTGCTTCCAAGGAACCGCGACGGCTACAGCGCAGGCCGCGGACCCGACCGCGGCAGGCGAAGTCGGGTTGGGGGGGGGAGTGGAAATTGGGGAGGGTGGGGGGAGGGCAACGCGCAAACGCCAAGGGTCGAGCGCCGCAGTGAACGCCGGGAAATGGAGTCCCCGGTAAAGAGAAACTGGCGAAACGAGGGAAAGGCGAACTACGAATCCCAGGACGACTCACGAACAACCCTGGCGTCGCGAGGCCCATGAGCAAGACACTCGGGGGCGGGGCGCAGCGGGGTGCCACCGGAAGCGGAAGCGCAGTACCCCGTTCTGGGCCAGGGAGTATGGGAAATAGAGTCGTAGGATTCCGCGACTGAGGGGCCGACAGGGGCGGGTAAAGGAACGAGGCTGGCCGCTGGTTTCTTACAGCTCCCCTCAGGCAGCAAGGCTCGGGTTCAGGCGTTCGCCTGATGCCCAGGATATTGACCTCATCCCCGTCTAACCCACCGGGTCCTCATTGCCTGTCGAGCCTCTTACCCGAGTCAGGCCCGCCACTGGAGGCCCCGTCGGGGCCCGTGTTTCACCCCGGGGTGTGGTTTCCTCAGGCGGGAGGTGAGGCCGGGCTCCTCGCTGAGGGACGTGGGAAGGGTGGGATGGGCTGTGGTGAGCGGTGTGAGAGCCGGGACGGCCCCGTACGCTAACCTGAGGTGGCGCCAGCCATTCTGCTGCTCGTCCCCTTGCACTTCTCCATTTCCTGTTAGGGCTTGAATGGGGCCTTCTGCTGCAGGCACTAAGTATGACCTTCGAACCCTGGTCAGAATAATGGTGAGGGGAAGCGTGACGTTATTTCATTTCACAGCTTCGGGGCATTCCACAGGTTTCCTTCCGCCTCCTCAGAGCCTTTCTTAACTCACAGAGTGGTTTCGCAGCTCCAAAAAATGAGCTCGGAGCGGCACCACGTTCGGGGAGGCGAAGGGCATTGTGGGCGCGTTATGTAAAAGTAGGACCCCAACCGACAGATCCTCTGTCCTCGCGCTACCAAGGCACGTGGCATTTTGAGCGGATGCTATTGGCAAGGTCCCGGGGCGGGGAAGCTGAACCTGGCGCTTCGCACATGCCTGAGCCCTCAAGTTGTGTTTTGTGTTGTTGTTTTTTCCAGTCACGCGTGCGTGTTCGGGTCGTGTGGCTATTTGATCGTCAGCTCCTTTGCTTAGAGTAGCCCCGTTTCGCCGTTCGGAGACCACAAAGTCACGGAGACTGGAGCCTCTCCCCCAAATCTGCTTACTTCTGTAGAAGCGTTAAAGTCTGTTTTTCTTTGGGAAGATGAGACCCCCGACATAGGATCAAGGAAGATTTAAAGGGCCAGGCTGATTGTTTTCTTAATGGTACGTTTTTTCTGGTGATCAAGTTTCAGAGAGAAGCTATTTTATTATTGGTGAGGATGGGATGGGGGGCAGAACGCAGGACCTCTGGGCAACTCTCATTGAATCTTGTTTGTTAAATTAACCTTTACTAAATGGTATGGGCTGTTATTGTAGGGTTCCCTGTTTTTCCACATGACCTATGGTCTGAAGGCCCTGCTGAGTCCTAGGTTGTGGGGCCACTTAGGGAACGAGAGGGTTGTTTGACTTGAGGGCCACTTTTCCTCCTCCCAGCAGGTCTCTGGGGGTGGCTCTGGTCAGTGCAGAGCCACCAACGGATTGACTTGCTTGTCTCATACTCCCTTTATCTAGTCTCATCTTTTTCAGTTCTCCCAAAAGCCATGTCCAGGCCCTCCCTCATCACCTTCACCCCAGCCACCAACCCCAGCGACCTCTGGAAAGATGGGCAGCAGCAGTCACAGCCCGAAGAGCTGGAGCCCACCTTGGATGGGGCTGCAGCCCGGGCCTTCTATGAGGCCCTGATTTCAGATGAGAGCAGTGTCCCGGAATCCCAGAGATCTCAGCCTGAACCTGCCAGTAAGAGAAAGAGGAAGAAGAGAAGAATGATGAGGGAAGCTGCTTCGGGAACCTCGGGAGGACATGGACAAAGGAGATCCCTTGAGGCGGAGGACAAGATGACCCAGTGGATACTGAGGGCAGCTCAGGAGGGTGACCTGGCAGAACTAAGAAGGCTGTTGGATCCCCGTGAGGCAGGGGGAGCCGGGGGCAATATCAACGCTCGGGATGCCTTCTGGTGGACCCCCCTGATGTGTGCTGCTCGAGCAGGCCAGGAGGCTGCTGTGCGTTATCTCCTGGGCCGTGGAGCTGCCTGGGTGGGCGTCTGTGAGCTGGGTGGCAAGGATGCTGCTCAGCTGGCTGAAGAAGCAGGTTTCCCTGAGGTGGCGCGCATGGTCAGAGAGAGCCATGGAGAGATGAGGAGTCCAGAGAACCGGTGAGGGGAAGCCTTAGCCCATGTCCATCTTTCAATGTGTTCTACCCTTCCTAGCCACTCCACACCAGAGGCTCCAGAACAAAGCCAAAGCTTCTCTCCCTGATCCCCCAGTATAGGTTGATAAGGCAGTGTAACAGAGTGATAATAAACATGAGCTCCCTGGGTTTAAATCCTAATTCTACCTACCTACTTGGGCAAGAACCTAATTTTTATGTGCCTCATTTTCCTTATCTGAGAAATGGGGGTATGAGAGCACCTTTGTTAAAGGGTTGTTAGGATTTAATGGGTCAATATACGTAAAGTGCTAGAATGATGCTTACCATATAATAAGCACTGTGTACATATTAATCGTAGTCATTGTTTTTTAAAGATTTATTTATTTATTTATTTATTGAGAGAGAGAGAGAATGGTAGAGAGCATGAGAGGGAAGAAGGTCAGAGGGAGAAGCAGACTCCCTGCTGAGCAGGGAGCCCGATGCGGGACTCGATCCTGGGACTCCAGGATCATGACCTGAGCCGAAGGCCGTTGCTTAACCAACTGAGCCACCCAGGCGCCCTAATCGTAGTCATTGTTAAGCTTTGCCCAAGAGCTTGTGAGGCCTGGTTGCCATTTCTTCTCCCAACTGTTCCCCTCTGTGTCCCTCATTGCTAAGTGGTTTGGAAGGCAATTTGTTTTTTAGCAGAAAGACTGGAAGGACTTCCCACCTTGCCACCCACCTGTGAGGCCTCAACTCTTCCCTGCCCTGAACTCTTCTCTTTTTTCCTCTGCAGGTCTCAATCCCCCTCCCTCCGGTACTGTGAGACCTGCAATGCCCACTTTCAAGACTCTAACCATTACACGTCCACTGCTCACCTGCTGTCACTGCCCCATGATCTCAGGTCCCCCAACCTGCCCCTTGGGGTTCCCACCTCCAGCCCAGGCTTCAGGTTGCTGCTGAGGGGAGGCTGGGAGCCTGGAATGGGGCTGGGACCTCGGGGTGAAGGCCGCACCAACCCCATCCCCACTGTCCTCAAGAGGGACCAGGAAGGATTAGGCTACAGATCAGTGCCCCAACCCCGAGTCACACACTTCCTGGCTCGAGATACTCGGGCAGTGGCTGGGAGGGAGAGAGCCCCTCGGGTGACCACACTGAGCCGGAGGGAGGAGAGAAGGCAGGAGGAGAAGGACAGGGCCTGGGAGCGGGATCTGAGGACATACATGAACCTTGAGTGCTAACCTTGGTAAAGTCTGATCCTGGTCTATTGCTGAAGTCTGAACTTGGACCTAGGCACTCTGGTTTTTACTTCCTGGGGTCTGTCCAGGTCCCAGACCCTCAGATTTTAGTCAGTGGGCTCTGTCTTTGGGAGAGAGGAGCTGAGAGCTGAAAAATAAATCAAACTTCTTCCTCTTTTGTGTTTATTCACTTTTCTGGAAACTATTGTAGGAAAGCCAAACAAGTCTGACGGCCACATGCCAGTCCCACCTGAGCCAGAAGGGGTAGCCCTTCCTGGTGGCATGATAGGGTCACCTCCCTGCTAGTCTTGTTCATTTCCAGGTCCTAGCCCCTGCCTGGAATGCTCCACCTATTCTTTCAGTCCCCTGAACCAGGAATTGCCCAAGCTCTATGCCAATCTCACCTACCCCAGGAAGCGTCCCCTGACCACTGCAGCCAATTCAATCACTTTTTATTTTTTTTAAAGATTTTATTTATTTATTTGAGAGAGAGAGAATGAGAGATAGCACGAGAGGGAAGAGGGTCAGAGGGAGAAGCAGACTCCCTGCTGAGCAGGGATTCCCGATGTGGGACCTGATCCCGGGACTCCAGGATCATGACCTGAGCCGAAGGCAGTTGCTTAACCAACTGAGCCACCCAGGCGCCCTTATTTTTTTTCAATTACTGATTTTAAACAAGATCATACACTATATGCTAAGAAGAGGAGTAAAACATATTCCTAACCTTCTAATTGCTCACAGCTAGAGGAGGCAGCTACGAACGTGATCAAATATACAATGCATGGTGATCGGGGAAGCCTGGGAAAGCTCATGGGGGTAATGAGAGTAGGTAGGGTCTTGCAGGAAGAGGCCAATGGGCTGGGAGGGCCTAAGAATATCCAGCCTCTACCATGATGTTGGCTGAACTAGAGCCAGAACCTCCCAGTGTACATTTTGGCCTCCCAAATGTAACCTTTAAGTCAAGATTCTTCATTTTACTACCTGAAAACGCCTGAGGGCAGGAAGCACATTCTATTTGTCGACACTTGTCTCCCCTTCCCTTCTGCCGCTCATACCAGGTGCTGAGCCTAAGAAGAGCTCACTGTTGTCAGACCCAGGAAGTAAAATCTGCATGGAGGGGCAGGAAAGATCAGCACAAGTCCCAGAGAAGCAGCTTGCTTTTCCGGAAAAGCCTTTCACGAAGTCACGGACATGAAAAGGAGGGGGTGGGGGTGGGGTGCAGGGAAGAACCAAAGGACAGGAGGCTAAAGGGAGCGGAGGAGTTTAAGGGACGCCCAGGGACCTGTGGGCGACGGAGATGGACGGCTAGGTTTATACTCCTGCCCCGGCCCTGCCAGATCTCAGCTGGCGCCCTGCGGAGTGGCGCGTACTAATGGCGCGGGGGCGCGGGGGGCGGTGGATTCGCAGGGTCCGCCCCGCGAACTGCGGGCTCCGCCCCCGTCTGTCCCTCCGGGCCCGGTGCAGCAGCTTCCGGGCTTTGCGGCTCCAGGCGGCCTACTGAGGCCGCGGCCCCGACGCTGGGCCCGGGAGGGGTCGCAGCGCACAGCGCCCGGATGCCTGGGTCCGCAGGCAGGCCCGCGCTTGGCCTTGCGACGAGGATCTCCCAGGACATCTCTGGCCTGACCTTGCGGAGACCGCGTCTCAGCTGCGTACTCGGGGCACGCACCGGTCGGGCCGCTCTGTAGGATTCATAGCTCTAAATCGAGAGAAGAACGCTGCTGGCTGGAGTTTGCTGAACACCTCGCTCCTAACCCCCAATAAGAGACTGCCTGTTCTTGAGCTCCCTTAGGTCAGCAGTTCAGGACTCTCCAGATTGGGAGCACCTGAGACCCAGGGCCACCTTCCTTCCTTCTTGGATGGAGCACCGCCTCTCCAGTTTCTGGGGCACCTTGGGGCGTGGCCTTGGTGAGTGAAACTTGGGGTGCTGCCTGCAGAAAAGGAAATCCCAGAAACCTAGGGAGGACACCGTGACCCAGGCCTTGTCAGGTCTTGGGGATTCTTGTCCTGAATTTTGTGTTTGGGGTGGTGGTGGTGGTGAATGAATTTGGATGTGCCTCCCTTCTTTACCTCAAAACTGAAAAGGAAACAAGCCACTTGCCACACTTGAGGCTGCAGGACATCCAGGGAAGTGGGGAGCCACTTCCAAATTCAGAGTAGGACTCACGAAACAGGTAACAGTTCTGAGCTTGAACGGACTCTGGCTTCTGAGAAGACACTCAGCCCCCAAACCCAAGAATCGAAGCAGTTCCAGGAAGCAGCCCCAGAATTGGGGGGCTCACGACACATCCCAACCATGTTCCTGCGGCGGCTTGGTGGCTGGCTACCTCGCCCTTGGGGCCGCCGGAAACCAATGAAGCCTGACCTGCCTACCCCAGAACTCAGACGAGTGGACAGCTCCTCTGAGAATTCAGGGAGTGACTGGGATAGTGCCCCAGAAACCATGGGAGATGTGGGGCCTCCCAAGACCAAAGACCCAAGGGCATGGAGGAGCTCTGAGGCTGCTCCAGAATCAAGTAGGGAGTCCCGAGATGAGCAACTGGGGAGCAACAGAATGGATTCCTTCAAGTGGGACAAGACTGTCTCTAACACTCAAGAGCCTGGGAGACTGGAGACTGGAGGGACCGTTCCCAAACGGGGCCGGGATCCTGTGGGCTCAAGTGTCACCAGACCTGGAGTGTCACCTGAAGGGGAACTGAGCCCCCCTGGGCCGGAAGCCCCAGTGGAGAAGCCAGGGCGGCGTCAGAAGCTGCTGGGCTGGCTGCGGGGGGATCCAGGTGCGGGAGCAGGGGCTCCCTTGCAGTACCTGGGGGGCCCAGAGGAGTGTCTGCAGATCTCAACCAACCTGACTCTGCACCTGCTGGAGCTGCTGGCCTCAGCCCTGCTGGGGCTGTGCTCACGGCCTCTGAGGGCAGCTTTGGATGCATTGGGCCTGCGCGGACCGCTGGGCCTCTGGCTGCATGGGCTACTGTCCTTCCTGGCTGCCCTGCATGGGCTCCATGCTGTGTTGAGCCTACTTACTGCTCACCCCCTGCACTTTGCCTGCCTCTTTGGTCTCCTGCAGGCCCTGGTGCTGGCTGTCAGCCTCCGGGAGCCCAGTGGGGAGGAGGAAGCCACTGACTTGGAGGATGAGAAGTTGGAGAGGGAGGGTGAGGAATAGAGAGAGACCCAGGAAAGGGGCTGTGACTGCAGGATAGAGTGTGACCTAGTGCCCCCATCCTGAGTGGGGTGGGAGCAAGAGTGAAGATAGTGTGGCCTGTAGGAGGAGAGTGGGGGCCATGACCCAGATTGTAAGCACAGGGACCTCAGGGATGGGGAAGAAACCCCAGAGTATGAGGGCATGGCCCGCCTTCATACACAGGAGAGAGTAGAGCTGTTTAGGGTATCTGTTTATGGACTATGGGGATATCGCCCTTGAATTCACCAGCTGTTCTTACTTTTTGCTTTTACATTTCTTCCACTTCCAGTTTTTTCTCTCCACCTTTACTTTTTAAAAGAAAAAAAAAAATAAGCGTGGTGGTGAAAAATAAAGACTAAAGAGTCCTCTTTACCTTTCAAAACTACCCAGGGTTGGAGGAGACCAGAGGCAGGACAGACAGGCCTCTGACTAGGGTAAGAGGGTGGTTGGAGACCCAAGGAATCCCTTGGATGCTAGGATCTGAGCTACCTAGGGAAGAATGGGGCTGTGAGGTGGGTGGATTAAGGGGTGTGGATAGGAGCCATTGGTGACAGGGAGCCCGCAGGAAGGATCTGGGTGTTCCCAGGAGCCAGGGGGAGTGGGGATGGTGCAGGCAGTATTGGCAAGAGGGCCAATTCAGAGGGGTTGGCAGCTCAGACAGGAAGTATGGGGAAGCACTGGAGCTTGGAGTCCCCACTCTGGGGTTAGGGGTTTGCACACTCAGCAATAAACAACTGTGTCACACCAAATCCTAAATATACCACTACAAAGAGAGTTACCACCACTCAGTGTCCTTCCTGACGCCGTCCAGCTGGGGGTTTAGGTGGTAGAAGGTCCAGGGGGAGTATTGAAATGGAGGTGGGGGGATTGATGTCTGGAGACAAACCGAAAATGAGAGGAGGATTGAAAAATCATCTTTATTACTTTTGGAGTTGGGAGTCTCCAGCTTCTCCTCCCCCCAGCACAAATGCAGCTCCCACCATATCCATCTGGGGCACAGATGAAGCCACAGGTCAGTTACTGGACAGCTCGCAGGCCTCTGGTGGGAGGAGGGAGAAAAGAAGAGGATGGAAAGGAAGGAACTCCAGGGAGAAAAGCAAGGTTGGTGGTAATGGGGTGGAGGAGAATGCATTCCCGCTTTTCCTCGCATCAAAGAAGGGGGGTCCCTGAGGCCCTTTTCCCTATGTGTCTAACCCCCTGCCCCTTTTATCCACTGCAAACTCAAGAAACCTCTCTTTTGAGTAGCCCAGAGCCCATCCTGGCTCCCTCAGGTGACACCACACCTCTTGGCCACATCCTTCTGGTGCCATCACAGCCTATGACACAAATGGAGGTGTCAGCACAGCCACTCTAATGATGTCAGCCTTTGACCATGCCCTCCAGTGCCATCACTTGAGTCCCTTTCAGCCGGCACCTGCAGAAGACTTGGTGAGTCCTAGTCCTCTTTTGTGGGACTTTACCCCCTCACCTTGATTCCTGGGAGTCCGTAAGAAGGCCTTGAAATCCAGGCAGGAGGTCAGGGACTGGAATTCCTCCACGCACTTCTCAGGAGGGTGTGGTGAGCGATCTGGAAGAGCAGGGCAGGGCCAGGCCCATCAAAGTCCCAGTTTCTCAGTACCTCCCTGGTGAGGACCTCATGGAAGCAGCACCCAGCCCTTCCTGGGATGATATCATAGGGCCCAGGGTGAGAGGCTCTCCTGCTCTTCTGTTGTTTCTCTCCAACCCTTCCTGCCTGGCATCCCCACTCACTGTAGAGGAGGAAGCGCTGGTAACCCTGGCCTGACTCTTTCAGCATGATTCCACCTGGGCATGAGCTGGAGAAGAGCTTGGTCTTCATGTCAGGGCGGCCTGTTGGGACAGGTATTTGTGGGGGAGAGTGTGTGAGGACAGAGATGCAAAACCAAGCAAGCCCAGGGGACTTGGGGAGGGTGAGGGCTGGAGAGAACCTACCTTCAGTTCTGAGATCTGTGCTCCCCTCAGTCAGGTGGTAGATCCATTTCCGGGGCACACAGAGCCCATTTTTCCTACAGAAGTGGTGGCAAGGACGAAAGACTGAGTGACACCCCAGCCACACAGTACCAGACTCTATTCCATCTTATTTCTCTTTGAAGCCTGGGTCCCCTTGGGTTTCAGGCTACCAAGGGACAGGTGGTTAGGCCCATCTCTCTTCAGAGGGAAACTAATAGAACTGTTGAACTCAGTGGGCCAAAAATAGTGGATATCCCAAAGAGCCTAGCTCTTTGTGGGTGGGTGCTCATATTTTGGGCAGAGACTGCACCTCCTGGTGCCTCTGCCTCCTCAGCACTCACATGCGGATGGTAGCGCGAAGCTGGAGCTTCATGGGCGCAGAGCCTGTAGCCATGTTGAAGACAATGTTGTCCACAGAGTCAAAAGTCACCAACTCCTCCTTGGTGGGAGCTGCCCCTGCGATAAAGTACCACCTGCCCAGGTGTGGCTCTGGGAACTGCAGAGAACGAGAGGATCAGAAGAGGGTGGGTCCCCACTACAGGGTCCATTCAACCTCTTCATCACCACTCTTAAGATGGCAGGACTTAGCAGTGGAGTGGCGGCTGCTTTTTTCCAATGAAGGGTTGGGTTATGACAGGAAGTCATTAAGCGACTTTTCCTTTGTAGCCCCCTCAATCAACCTGAGTAACCACCCACCTCCCAATTCTACCATGTCTCCACATTGATGGCCACAGTACTAATTTTTTTTTTTACTTGTTCTTCCATTCATTATCTTAATACACCCTTTCTCCCTTCCTTTCCCAGCGTGGCTTCTGGTCATCCAAGGCCACCTACCCAAGTCCCTCAGAGGCCCCACCATCAGCTTCTCCCATTCTCAGTCCATACCTCTTTCCCATCCACTCCCTGAGTGGTCAGCTGACTGTACTCAGGGCACTGGTAGATGGCATTAAGGAGAATACCACAGAGGTAGAGCAGAGCTGCCCATATTTGGTGGACCATCTTCAGGCAGGAGGGAGCTGGTGCTCTTCGTGAAGTGGCTGGTGCCTTAACTGCTCTCTCTCCCCCTGCTAGTTATTCAGTCCACTCTGCTTCCAGCCCCCTTGCCTCGACCCTTGACCCTTTCACCTGCTAATGAGTAACTTCAACCTTGTTTTCCAACCCAAGCCTGGATTACCTACAGTGTTTGGGCCTTCCTCCCCCTCTTCTAGATGCCATCACTCCATAATATACCCTGGCACGTCCAGGGTCTCAGGAATTATGAGAGCTGAGCCCTCTAGGTAGAAGCCTGTGGTCTTTCAACCCATATCTGTGCTGGGTATCTGCTCTGTTGCACAGCACTGAAGAGAGGTGAACTGATTCTTTTCATTCATTCACCCAGCAAACTGTTGTGAGTCCCAGCTGTTTGCCCAGCCAAGCCCTAGAGACATAAAAATGAATGACAGTCGCTGGCCTTGAGAGCAGTAAAAAAACAAAACAAAACAAAAAAAAACTAGTTGTGTAAACAAAACAAATCCTTGCAGTACACAGCCTGGTAAGTTCTTTAGGACAGGCCCCCAGGTGCTGGGGCCTGGTGAATGGGAGGCCTTCTCGCTGAAATTTGTAATTAGGGAAACAATCCGAACACCCCTGAGAAAAGTTCACTGACACGAGCTCATTCACTCAACATTTATTACCAGAAGGAAGAGGTTGTATCAGTAAAGGTTAGAGGATGGATATTGGTGTTAGGCGGAGTTAGGCAGAGTGCAAACCCTAACTCCACTATTTGTTAGATCTTGAACAATTTTATTAATTTCTATGTCTGTTTTTTTCACTTGTAAAATGATCAAATCATCAGTCTCATAGGATTAAAAGATAATGCACATAAAGCCCTTAGCAAAGGCCTGCACGTAGTTAAGTCCAAAGTAAATATTCACTATAATTAATGTTTGTAAAGGCACTTATTACAGTTTCTAGTGGGCTATAGGTTCTCAAATAATAGTACGGAAAGAATTGTCAAGAGGCACTCATTGGATAGTGCCAAGTGGGTGGAGCAATTAACGCAATGAGAGATGGGGCTTCCTTAATAGATTATGTATAAACCACAGACTGCCAAAAAATTTCTGAGAGGTGAGGCTTGCTATGGGTTTGCGACTTAGTTAAAAGAACCAAGTTTGTGTGATGGTTATATGAGGGCCCCTTATAACATTTGGGGGTAATGTTTGCCTTTTTTTTTTTTTTTTTTTATAGATTTTGACAGAGACACAGCGAGAGAGGGAACACAAGCAGGGGGAGTGGGAGAGGGAGAAGCAGGCTCCCCGCCAAGCAGGGAGCCCGATGCGGGGCTCGATCCCAGGACTCTGGGATCATGACCCCAGCCGAAGGCGGACGCTTAACGACTGAGCCACCCAGGCGCCCCTGTTTGCCATTTTTTTTTAATAATAAAAAGCAAATATATATAAAATACAACAATTTATAGGGGCAGTAAAGTAGAAGTGCTTGACCCGGGGTCTGGTAGGCCTGGACTTGTCAGTTCTGCCACTTACTTTCGCCTAAGTGTACTTCCCTATAAAATGGATGTAATAACTACCTTAGGTGTTGAAAGGCTTTTAAATGGGGCAGTACGCAAAACCCTGAGCAATTTGGCTGGCACAAACCAAGTGCTCGCTGAACAGGTGTTTAGTAGAACTCTTAACTGAAACAGTACCGGGACCTGGGTAGAAACTACGAATCCCAGAAAGGCTGTGGACACCGGGGACAGGCAGTCCCGCAGCCACGGGTCTGGGAGAAGTTGCAGCGCCGCGGGGCCAGGGCCCTGGCCCGAGGGCGGGGGCGGGGCGCGACTGCCCAGTCTGCCGGTCGACCCCGGCCAGCGGAAGCCCTGCGGTGGCCCTTTCAATAGCCCAAGATCGGACTCTTGAGCTTCGGTCCAGTCTGACTTCATTCGCTCCCAATTCCCAAACTTGCAGGCGCCCTTTCTGACGAAAGTCCTGAAAAGCAGTAAATCCTTAGTTGCTCCAGAACATGGCGTATCCTCCCGGCCGCACACCGCCGGCGAGGAACATGGCGCCCGCACCCCGCCAAACGCCCACCGGGCAGCACCGAGATCAGCCCCAGCTACGCGACGGCACACCCAGGTAGCTCGCGAACCACCTCCAACCGCCTAAAAAAAGGATGACTTCCGGAGGCGCCGAAAGAGTAGAGCTGCGAGGGCCAGAGTGAGAAGACAGAATTTTAGGAGGCCAGCACAGTGCCGCCTCAAATTCTCTGCCGGTCAAGACTTTAACACAGATTAATGAGAAACAATCCCCAGTCCCCAAACTCCCAAGAGGCACAAACTGTCCAAAGCCTCTCGAGGTATAGAGTCTCATCTGGTAATTATTTTCAGGCATTTATAGTAGCCACCCTAGCCTCCCACGGCTCAAGCGCGTGCACAGAAGTGAACAGCGTTAGCGGGGGGTGGGGAGGTGCCTAAGAGTGTACGCATGCGTAGTGCAACGCACGCAGGCGCAGTACGGTCCCCCGGGCGACGGCGGTGGCGGCTCCTCGGGGTGCTCGGCTCCCTCCCATCCAGGCCGGCCCCGGCCCGTCTAGCCCCAAGGAACTCACTGTTTGGGGCCGCGAACTTCCTCGTGGTGCCCCACAAGAGTAAAGCTTGGGGGCCTGGGGGGAGCCGGAAGTACCGCCTAGCGATCCCCAAATACTATCGGGGAAACGGAAGTGGCCATCGGTGGCAAGTTGGGGGAGACCGGAAGTGACGGTACCGTGGGGAACTCGGGGGCGGAGCCCGGGGTGGTGGTATTGGTAGTGGTGGGGTGTGTGTCTGTGTGTGTGTGTGTGTCTGTCTGTCTGTGTCTGGTGTGTGTTGGTTGCGCCGCTCTGCTGGAGCATCGAGGGAAGGCGGAAGAGGGGGGCAGTCAGCTAGCCAGTCTGGCCCCCCGTGAGTGTCCGTCGTCTCGGATCTGTCGTGACTTAGGCGGGTTCGATGGGCGTGGCGTGGCGCGCGTGCGCGAAACCACTGTCTCCGCAGAGTCTGGCGCGACCCCCCGTTCTCGTGTGCTCCCCAGGGTTTGCCGACCTTTGGGGTGTTTGTCGTATCGCGACTGGTGATGACACTGGTCTCCTGTTTCCTACATTCCCGGCTTCCTAGCCTGACTGGCCCTCCCTTATTGTGATTGGCATTGTGGAGCCCCTCCCATCTCCCCGTTCTCCAGCTCCTTGTGCCGTCGATCTCCTTGCCCTTTGTGTTTCTCTCCCCGCGCCCCGGAATCAGAAGGGGGATGGGGGCGGGTGTGAGTGTGTGTGCTTCTGTGGGAGAAACTCTTTAGGTATTAGGGCGGAGACTCAGGCCGGGGAGGCTTCCGGGTATATAAAATCTGCTTTGGGCGACAGCAGTCCTCCCTCCCTCTATTCTTCCTTAGAGAGCTGTCAGCCATGGAGCCCAGTGATAGTACCAGTACCACTACCAGTATGGAGGAGCCTGACAGCCTGGAGGTGCTGGTGAAGACCTTGGACTCTCAGACTCGGACCTTTATTGTGGGGGCCCAGGTGAGACCCCGGCACTTCTGGAAGACACCCATTAATTCTTCCTCTTACAGGCCCCTTATCCTGAGAGAAGAGCCTGATTTTTTTGGTCCTCGAATCTTTTTTCATTGGTTCCTTTGTTCATATTTTAGACAGGACATTTTCTGGTCTTTCTCATTGAGTGAGAAGGTATGGCTTCGGTTGAATGAGGCAGATTTTGTTCTGCCTTTTTCCACCTTGATAGAATTCAGTGCAGAGGGAAATGTGGAGGAAGGAGGAATCTGTATGCCATTATCATGAGCGAACCCCAGCCCAAAGGGACAGACATGGATTGTGCCTTTGGGAAGGGAAACAGAACAGAGATCCAAAACTTGAGTCTTAAAAATAAAAATTAATCAGGTCTGTATTATGTTTTTAAAGGCTAGAAATCAGAGCCTGTAGCGCAGGTAGATCCCTAGCAGACTGTTGAGTGGAATTAACTAGTATCTGTGGCATAATTTGAATCTTTTGATTTTAATGCTAGAGACGCAGCTGTCTGTACCATTAGTTCCTGTGGTACTTGGAGACAGAATTATGAGGGGTTGGTTCATAGCTTTTAAAACGTATACAAAAAACTGTATAGGCTTTTGTGACTAGATGTACATAAACAGTCTGGTACTTCCCCAGACTCACTTGTCCGGTTAGGAAAGTGTTTGTTATTTTTTTTCTTCGCCGTTAAGCCTTCCTTAGCTTGACTTTCCACTCTCCCTTCCTTGTCGTTGCTTTTGTCTTTGAGATTGCAGAGTTGTATCATTTTGTGTTTGGGGAGGGTTCACTGGTATCTGTAGACACACATTCCTTTGGGAGCCAGGGGGAGAAGGGAATGCCAATTAGCTTTTCTGTCTCAGCCACATAATTTTTTTCTGGGCACATAACTTGAAGTTTGTTAACACTTACTGTTTGTCTTGACAGGTGTAAACATGTCTTAGTTTGGGGTTTTGTACAAAAATTACCTCACAATCAAGACAAATGGGTAGTGATGTTATGATTGGGTGGTTTTTACCCCTCACTCCCAAAAGTCAGTTGTCGCCCTTTCATCCTTCCCCTTTTCCTGCATTCGCTGATAGTTCTTGGTCTCTCTTTGCTTGTAGATGAATGTAAAGGAGTTTAAAGAGCACATTGCTGCTTCTGTCAGCATTCCCTCTGAGAAACAGCGGCTCATTTATCAGGGACGAGTTCTGCAGGATGATAAGAAGCTCCAAGAATACAGTAAGTTTGGGGGAGGCAGTTCAGAGGTTGAGGGATGAGCTGACGCTTTGGGCTTACTTGATCGTATAATGCTTTGGTGTGTATCTTTTTTTTCTGCAGATGTTGGGGGAAAGGTTATTCACCTGGTGGAGCGGGCTCCTCCTCAGACACAGCTCCCTTCTGGGGCATCTTCTGGGATAGGGTCTGCCTCAGCCACCCATGGTGGAGGACCCCCACCTGGTACTCGGGGGCCTGGGGCCTCTGTTCATGACCGGAATGCCAACAGCTATGTCATGGTTGGAACCTTCAACCTTCCTGTAAGCTTATGTTCCACATAGGCCAGTTTTTGTGGGGAAGGGTGGTTTGGTTGTGGTAATAGCAGAGAGCTCATAAAGACAGGTGTCTCGGTCTTTAGATTGGGTTTCCAGGTCCCTGAGGTCTGATATGGCCTCAGTCTTTGAGAAAAAGGGTGGGGCTTCAGAAAATGAGTTGGAGGTGTGGGGGCCTTAGGTATTTGGCTTCTCCCAGAGCAACTTCCCTTACCCTTTTCCCAGAGTGACGGCTCTGCTGTGGATGTTCACATCAACATGGAACAGGCCCCGATTCAGGTATCACGGGCCTGGGAGGGTCAGGGAAGGGGATCTGGGAGAAGGAGGCCATGAGGTGGGGGGCGGGGGGGGGCGCTGGCTGAGGAGCCAGCTGGGACCTGATTCAGTGGGTGGTAGAGTTCATGGCTTCATCTCAGACATATTCTCATTTTATGTCTTTTATCGTATAGAGTGAGCCCCGAGTACGGCTGGTGATGGCTCAGCACATGATCAGGGATATCCAGACCTTACTATCCCGGATGGAGGTTAGTGGGCAGGGCTGGCTAGGGTCTGTCTGTTTTTTCATTCTTCCTTACCGTTGTATGTCCGCCTGGCAGTGAAGGCATGGCTGGACATATCAGCCGGATTCTTCCTGCCTAATCTGGTCTCTTCTCTGCAATCTTCACTCTTTGGGGCAGAAAAAATATCTTTGTCGGGCTCTCTTGTCCCTGCCAATCCTCTGGGTGCCTGGTATCTGGGAAGTTTGTTGCAGACTTACCAGATAACTTTTTTTTTTAAAGATTTTATTTATTTATTTAATTGGCGGAAGAGAGACAGCGAGAGAGGGAACACAAGCAGGGGGAGTGGGAGAGGGAGAAGCAGGTTTCCTGCTGAGCAGGGAGCCCGATGCGGGGCTCGATTCCAGGATGCTGGGATCATGACCTGAGCCGAAGGCAGTCGCTTAACAAACTGAGCCACCCAGGCGCCCCTTACCAAATAACTCTTGTGGCTTCTTTTTTCAATTACAGAAGTAGTCTGTGCTTTTTTAGTTTTTTTTTTTTTTTAAGTTTTCATTTATTTATTTGAGAGACACGGCGAGAGAGGGAACACAAGCAGGGGGAGTGGGAGAGGGAGAAGCAGGCTCCCCGCCAAGCAGGGAGCCCGATGCGGGGCTCGATCCCACGACTCTGGGATCATGACCTGAGCTGAAGGCAGACGCTTAACCACTGAGCCACCCAGGCGCCCTGTGCTTTTTCAGTTTCTTAATTACCGTCTGATGCTGAGATGTCCCAGTTCCGTTAGTTTGTGTTGTGACTGTAGCGTGTGATGTTTTTTATCCTTCTAGCAGAGGTTTAGGGAAGCATCATTTCTTTATCTTGTTAGTAACTCTCAAGCATCACAGGTTATTTATCATGCGTCTTGTTCAAGTGCGGTGCTGGTTGCTGGGGGGTCAGAGCGACAGGTGCAAGGCCCTGCCTTCAGGAGCCTAGTTAGAGCTCCTCCTCCATTCGTTCTCCATTGACCTGAGTAATCTGCAGCAGTCTCATCCTGCCTTTGGTATCCTGAATCTCTCCCCTTCAGTGTCGAGGGGGACCCCAAGCACAGCATAGTCAGCCGCCCGCACAGACGCCCACTGTGGCCCCGGAGCCTGTCGCCTTGAGCTCTCAAACATCAGAACCAGTCGAAAGCGAGGTGCCTCCTCGGGAGCCCATGGAGGCGGAAGAAGTGGAGGAGCGTGTCCCAGCCCAGAGCCCAGAACTCACCCCTTCTGGCCCAGCCCCTGTTGGCCCAGCGCCTGCCCCAGAGACAAATGCGCCCAAGTGAGAACCCGAGGGACGCTTTGGGGGGGGGGGGTGAGGGATTCTCAGTGAAGCATGAGAGCCAGGAAGGGGACGATGGGAGAAGGGGCCCGCTGGGCATTCTTACCTGTAGGGTTAGCCTGGTGGGGCAGAGAGAGGCTCTGGACCAGCCGAACGAGGTTAGGGCCGGCAATGGAGCCAGAAGCACTGCTGTCCCTGGGGCAAGGAAATCCAGGTGGTGGTTCCTGAGCCCAATCCAGACTCTCTTCCCCAAGTTCACACGGGTGGCGTTTCTTCTTTCAGCATTTGTTCCCTGCCATCGTAGGGATGGGGTTGTGTGGCGGGGAAGGCGGAAGCAGATGTTTTCTTCTTGTCTTCCCGTGGGTGCAGGTGAAGGGTGGATGTTCTGCTGGTCCCAGGAGGCATCGGGCCAGGTGTCTGGGGAGCTGCGGAGAGACAGGGCATTGTAGTCTAGGTCAGCTGGGAGGCTGGGGATCTGAGGAGAGCCTCCGCTCACTGCCTCTTGGGGTCGCCCACAGCCATCCTTCACCTGCGGAGTACGTCGAAGTGCTCCAGGAGCTCCAGCGGCTGGAGAGCCGCCTTCAGCCCTTCTTGCAGCGCTACTACGAGGTTCTGGGTGCCGCTGCCACCACGGACTACAATAACAACGTGAGTGCCACCCGCCCCCTCACTCCCGGCGTGTCCCACAGGGAGCGGGCTGGAATGCAGCTAGCTAACCCCCCCCCCCCAAAAAATGACATTGTCTGCAACGGAATGAGTTCTCTGTAGACTTGTCTGCTGTTTTTCTTTCTCGATCCCTTGAGTGAGTTGTTTAGGAAGCTTACATAGAGTGAGGGAGAAGAGTGGATGATGACGTGCTGATTTTCTGGGGCCTGTTGTGGTAGGGAACTTTGTACGTATGTGAAGTGGAAGTTATTTGCCCAGATTGGGCCTACCCGGGAGCTTTCCAGGCTATGCCCAAAGGTGTAGAGAGTACGCCGTTCTTCAGGGCTGTTACTGTTTTTGTTACCGAGGTTCGTTCCAGCCTAATAGGTTTTTGCCTTTTTGTGCTCGGCCCCGGTGGGGGGGACAGCAAGAGGGCCGTGAAGAGGACCAGCGCTTGATCAACTTGGTGGGGGAGAGCCTGCGGCTGCTGGGCAACACCTTCGTGGCCCTGTCTGACCTGCGCTGCAATCTGGCCTGTGCGCCCCCACGACACCTGCACGTGGTTCGGCCCATGTCGCACTACACCACCCCCATGGTGCTTCAGCAGGCAGCCATCCCCATCCAGGTGGGTCGGGGGAGCCTGGAGGGCCAGACAACGCGGGGCTGTTGGCGGAATGACCCAGAGTAGCTACCGGGCTTGAAGCGAGAAGGGGTGGGGACTTTGGGAATGCAAAGGGATGGAGAATGGGGAGGCTGAAGGAGTTTGTCTCGGGGTGCCCTGGGTTAGGCTCTTGTTTTCCTCACTCTTGCCTCATCTATCTCCTCTAGATCAACGTGGGAACCACTGTGACCATGACGGGGAATGGGACTCGGCCCCCGCCGGCTGCCAGTGCGGAGGCAGCTCCCCCTGGTCCTGGGCAGGCCTCGTCCCTGGCTCCCACTTCTACCACTGTCGACGCCTCAACCGAGGGGGTTCCCCCGCCAGGGCCGGCTCCCCCCCCGACCACCAGCCACCCGAGGGTCATCCGGATTTCCCACCAGAGTGTGGAACCCGTGGTCATGATGCACATGAACATCCAAGGTGAGTTAGGGCCAGTCGTCAGTAGAGCAGAGGTGCACAACGCGGGAGGCGGGGTTGGCGCGGAGGTGTGAGAGCGAGGGTGGGGAGGGGAGAAGCCAGGGCTGGCTGCCAGAGCAGAGGAGCCAGGGCAGAAGCTTTAGTCGGCCCGTGTGGGGAGGGACAGGAGGGACTGCTTGTCCCTGCAGGTCGGTGTGCGTGGCGAAGGGAGTGCCTCCTCCCTGTCCAGGTGGAAGGCAAAGCCGGCTTTCTGGTGGGGGGAGTAGCGCCCTGAAGGATGCTGGTCTCAGGAGGATACAGTTAGGCCTTGGCCCCGCCTGTCTCAGGGCCACTCTTTCTGTCTCCCTGCCCAGATTCTGGCACACAGCCCGGTGGAGTTCCGAGTGCTCCCACTGGCCCCCTAGGACCCCCTGGTCATGGCCAGACCCTGGGTAAGAGTGAGGGCATATCAGAGCAGGCTGAGCTCTGGGTAGACAAGGGGTAGGGCCGAGTGGGTGGGTTGAAGGGGGTCCAGGTTCAAGGTTACATCAGACCCGCCCCCCAGGCTCCACCCTCATCCAGCTGCCCTCCCTGCCCCCTGAGTTCATGCACGCCGTCGCCCACCAGATCACTCACCAGGCCATGGTGGCAGCTGTTGCCTCCGCGGCCGCAGGTAATGACCCGGGAGGGGAAGCTTGGGAGGTGGGGCATGGTCCATGGTGGTGGGTGCTGTTGGCTGGCGGGCCGGGGCCCAGCCCTCAGCCCTCCTCGGTCTCTCCCCCCTGCTACCCACAGGACAGCAGGTGCCAGGCTTCCCGACAGCTCCCACCCGGGTGGTGATTGCCAGGCCCACCCCTCCACAGGCTCGGCCTTCCCATCCTGGGGGGCCCCCCGTCTCGGGTACTCTAGTGAGTAAGGGTGGAGGAGTTCTGGTGGGGGAGAGTCTGCGGAGAGGGTCCCGTGGTGGGCAGTGGACAGGGCAGGACTGAAAGCCTCCCCTCTCTCGGTTCAGCAGGGCACCGGGCTGGGTACCAATGCCTCTTTGGCCCAGATGGTGAGCGGCCTTGTGGGGCAGCTTCTGATGCAGCCCGTTCTTGTGGGTGAGTCCTCGCTCCCGCCCACCTCCCACCGCAGGGAGGGCCACAGCCCTGGAGGCCGATGCTCCTCTCTTCACGGCCGCTTCCCGGTTTTGTGCATGGGTCCTTTGTCCTTGCTTTCCTGCCGGGGAGAGCGGGATGGAAATGCCGGGGCATATCGTTTTTCCTTAGAGTTCACCTTGTCTCTTTTGGTCTGTCCAGCTCAGGGGACCCCAGGAATGGCTCCACCTGCGGCCCCCGCCACTGCTTCAGCTAGTGCCGGGACCACCAACACTGCTACCACAGCTGGCCCTGCCCCCGGGGGGCCTGCCCAGCCTCCGCCCCCTCAGCCCTCCGCAGCCGACCTGCAGTTCTCGCAGCTCCTGGGGAGCCTGCTGGGGCCCGCAGGGCCCGGGGCTGGGGGGCCCGGCGTGGCTTCTCCTACCATCACAGTGGCGATGCCTGGCGTCCCCGCCTTCCTGCAGGGCATGACTGACTTTCTGCAGGTGGGTGGCTGGCTTGCTCTTCGGTTTCAGCCTCCCTTTCCTTGGGCCCAGCCAGGCGCTGGTGTCTCGTTGCTATGATCTCGCTGCTGGGTTCCAGCGTCCGGGGGCCTAGCGGTGGGAGGGGGCCCCAGGGCTTCACTGACACCCCAGCCCCCCACCCCACGGTTTTGGAGAAGAGGAAGACGAGGCTATGAAGGCAGAGTAGCCCGCATTGCTGCTTTCTGACCTCACCCGTTCGGAGGGAGAGGGGCTGGCGCTCTCCATCTTCAGGCTCCTTCCGGTTTGTGCCTTCCTGGTGTCTTATTTCCGCTCTCAGCTTGTCTTCCGTGGTGTGTTCCTTCTCTGTCTGCCAGGCGACACAGACGGCGCCTCCGCCCCCTCCGCCGCCCCCACCCCCGGCCCCGGCCCCCGAGCAGCAGACCGTGCCCCCACCGGGGTCCCCTTCTGCTGGCGCAGGGAGCCCTGGAGGCCTGGGTCTTGAGAGCCTGTCGCCGGAGTTTTTTACCTCCGTGGTGCAGGGTGTGCTGAACTCCCTGCTGGGCTCCCTGGGGGCCCGGGCCGGCAGCAGCGAGAGTATCGCCGCTTTCATCCAGCGCCTCAGTGGATCCAGCAACATCTTTGAGCCTGGGGCTGATGGTGCCCTCGGTGAGCGAGTCGGGGAATGGGGCGGGGGGCGCCGATGGCCTCTATCGGGGGTGTTGTCGAGGCAGAATGAGGCCGACGGGCTGGTGGTGGGCGGGCAGGCCAGGTGGTGGAGGCCACTGCTGACTTCGGCCCCTGTTCCTAGGATTCTTTGGGGCCCTGCTCTCTCTTCTGTGCCAGAACTTTTCCATGGTGGACGTGGTGATGCTCCTTCATGGCCATTTCCAGCCCCTGCAGCGGCTCCAGCCCCAGCTGCGATCCTTTTTCCACCAGCACTACCTGGGTGGCCAAGAGCCCACACCTGGCAACATACGGGTAAGTGAAGACCCTGGGTCTCAGAGCGCTCCTGCTTAGCTTCCGTTTCTTCTTCCTGACTCTGTTTATCTGTCATCTAAAGTCACGATTGCTCCAGCCCGAGCCCTGGACTTACTGGAGGTGGAGGGGAGGGCAGTGTCTCAAGGGCTGGGGCCTGGGCCTGAACTTGTGCTGCTTCCCCCTAGACGGCAACCCACACGTTGATCACGGGCCTGGAAGAATATGTGCGGGAGAGTTTTGTGAGTAACCTTCCCCGTTCTTTGTCTCCCGGCTGTGGTCAGGGTAACTGCTGTTCTCCTGCGTTCTCGATCCTAGTCCCGCAGGGTCCCTGAGTTGGGGGTCTCTGCGTGTCTTGTTTTTCAGTCTCTGGTGCAGGTTCAGCCCGGCGTGGACATCATCCGGACAAACCTGGAGTTTCTCCAAGAGCAGTTCAACAGCATTGCTGCTCACGTGCTGCACTGCACAGGTCAGGGGCGGGCCCGCAGGGCCGCAGGTGTCGGGGGGTGTTAGAGGTGCAGGGCTGCCGGGTGCCAGTGTCCCCTCCTCACGTCTTGCCCACAGACAGTGGATTTGGGGCCCGTTTGCTGGAGTTGTGTAACCAGGGCCTGTTTGAATGCCTGGCCCTCAACCTGCACTGCTTGGGGGGACAGCAAATGGAACTTGCCGCAGTCATCAATGGCCGAATTGTAAGCACCACCCAGCCCTCCGATCTCCAGCCTTTTGTTTTCTTAGGGTTCCATTCTCTCTGCTATCTTGCAGTTCTTGTTTTGCTTTTCTTCTCCAAACTGCTATCCTTTACTCTTTGATACCCTTCAAAAGCTGGTTGAAGATGTTGTGTTCCAAGGCTGCTTTCTGTCCTCAGCGTCGCATGTCTCGTGGGGTGAACCCGTCCTTGGTGAGCTGGCTGACCACTATGATGGGACTGAGGCTTCAGGTGGTTCTGGAGCACATGCCCGTGGGCCCTGATGCCATCCTCAGATACGTTCGCAGGGTCGGTGACCCCCCCCAGGTAAGGGCCCCGATGGGCTGTGGGGTCTGGGGACTTGAGGGAACTGGACGGGGAGGCCTGAGAGGGCCTCTTGTGTTCTCCTTCTCTGTGCAATTTCATAGCCACTTCCTGAGGAGCCGATGGAAGTTCAGGGTTCAGAGAGGACTTCCCCTGAGCCTCAGGTACCAGGGAGAGGTCGAGGGGCCAGACAATGGGGAGCGGAGGGCTGCGGGCAGGAGGGCTGGAGGCTGGGGTTGCCGAAGGCTGCATGTTCCCCGCCGTCTCACTCCCAGCGGGAGAATGCTTCCCCGGCCCCGGGCACGACGGCAGAAGAGGCCATGTCCCGAGGGCCACCTCCTGCTCCCGAGGGCGGCGGCTCCCGGGATGAACAGGACGGAGCTTCCGCTGAGACCGAGCCTTGGGCAGCCGCAGTGCCCCCAGTGAGTGTCAGGAGGTGAGCTGGGGGCCAAGGGCAGCTGGAAGTTGTGCCGGTTCCTCATCATCTCTTCCGTCCCCAGGAGTGGGTCCCGATTATCCAGCAGGACATTCAGAGCCAGCGGAAGGTGAAGCCGCAGCCCCCCCTGAGCGACGCCTACCTCAGTGGTATGCCTGCCAAGAGACGTAAGGTTGGTCTGCCTCTTCCCTGAGGAGCTCTCTATCCCCCTTCCCGTGTCGTGCTTAGAATCAAACTAGTTAGAGCCGGCAGGAATTCTTCCTACTTTCGTCCTGGGGCTGAGTGGACGAGGAAGCCTTCCTGGGACTCGCCCACAGTGGCGGCAGCACACCTCAGGCTAGCGCGTGCCAGCGCCGCTGTCCTCCCTCAGCCACCTGACCCCCGGGTGCCCGTGTGGCCAGGGCCCGTTTCCGTGAGGGGGGCTTCCTCTCGTGCACTAGCTAGCTCTGAGTGCCGGGTGGCGCGGCTCCTCCTGCCCCTCTTGCTTTGAAGAGCAAGTCCAGCACGCGCAAATGCCCTCGAGCCAGAGCCGGAGCCAACTAGGAAGGCCTTTCTGCGCTCAGAACCACCCGCGGCCCGGTTCCCTCCTCTCCACTAGCCTAGAAACTCAGTGGTTGGCTCCTGGAAAGGGTGAGCTGGGTGGTGGCACTGGATCTGACGTTGATCCCCTTTTCCCTCCCGACCCCCTGTCCCCCAGACGATGCAGGGTGAGGGCCCCCAGCTGCTTCTCTCAGAGGCCGTGAGCCGGGCAGCTAAGGCAGCCGGAGCTCGGCCCCTGACGAGCCCCGAGAGCCTGAGCCGGGACCTGGAGGCACCAGAGGTTCAGGAGAGCTACAGGCAGCAGGTGCCGCCGCCTTGAAGCAGAATAGGGATGGTCTAGTGGGAGGGGTCGGGCTAGGGCCCCTCTTTTCTGATCCCTTCAGAGACAAACTGGTCAGCCTGGGGCTACTACTTGATGTTTTTTAAAGAGTTTTTTCCCTAGTGGCATCTGGGAAGGCTCCCGACAGTGTGGCTGGTGGGAAGTGCTAGCTCCTAAGGGACGGCCTTGCGTGCTCCCTGGGATCCCAGGGCCTTGGCCAGTGCCCCTCCAACCCCGCTTGCTCTCTCTCTCTCTCTCTCTCTAGCTCCGGGCTGATATACAAAAGCGACTGCAGGAAGACCCCAACTACAGCCCCCAGCGCTTCCCTAATGCCCACCGGGCCTTTGCTGATGATCCCTAGCTCTTTGCTCTGTGGCCCTCCCTCATCAGGGGACCATTTTCCCCCATTTTCCTTCACAGTATTTAAGAAATAAAAGTCAGATTTTCCTGGCTCTTTGTCTCTAAGTTGTCTGTCTGTCTTAAGTCGTCGAAGTACTTCAGTCTTCTCTGAGCTTGTTTGGAATGAGTAGTTCCTAGGAGCCCAGCTGTGTGTTAATCTTCCCCGGCCAGCAGCCGCGCATTGCCGTGTTCCGTTCACGTGGCGCAGCACTGAAACAAAGCCTGGCAACAGCGATCACACACAAGCATTTTACATATACGTGAAAGAACGGAGTGTAGAGATGGACCAAACCTATTTCTAGGCCAGCACAGGGCTCTCAAACTATCCGATAAAAAACCATTTAACTTCCAAGCAGCTGCTGACCTGAATACAGTCTTAGCACAACTAGCCAAGCTTGACAGCAGCGGCACTCATCTACCGGGTTCGACGGGCCTCCTCCTGTTCATGTGCTTGAATGTGGAGTCCACAAGACCGCTTTCAAGGCCCTCAAGTTTGTAGCCAGGACCAAAATGAGGGGAAGCTGCGAATTCCTTGCTACTCCCTCGGAGAGATGCAGTTGCAGTCCCCTCCCCGTGTGCTAGCTTAGTGCTAGACCAACAGAACGTGGCTGAGGACCTGCTAAGGCCAGGCCATATACTTCACAGCTTCCACCAGGACCTCTCGGGACACTAACTCAGGGATTTAAGAGGCCTGATGACTCTGCTATCTTGCTAGACAGGCCAGAGACACTGCTTGACAATCCAGTGGGGTGCTATCTTCTAGAGGTACCACCAAAGCCTCAGACACATCGGACCAGCCTGGTGTCAGCTCCAGACTGGTAGCCAACAGACCTCGCTCACTGGAGGCCAGTTCAAACTCCCACTCCCTAAGACTTAACTGAATGGTCAAATTTCGAGGCAGCTTGTTAGAACAGATCACCGGGGTAAACAAATTCCCTAAAACCACTACAGAGCCCCGGGCACTGTACTGCTACAAGAGATTGCACACAACCAACCCATCCCCAAAATCGTTTCAGAAAAATTTTTTAATCCTTTTATTATTCTTTTTTAACAAACGGCCCCAGGGATAGGGGACCAGGGGAGGGGGGTGGAGGGGAAGCAAGGCCCCAGCCCCACAACCCCTCCCCACCCACCCCTTTCCCCCTTATATATTTATAATCTATATACAAGCCCCGGGGGGTGGGGGGCAAGGGGAACTCCCTCAGCGGGGTGGGGGCAACCCAGGCTCCTTGTCCCCTCGGGACCCAGGCTCCTCTGCCCGTCGGGAAGGCCCCTCTCGAGAAGGTGGCCCCGTCCGCTCCCAGGGCTTCGGCATCCAGCGCAGGGCATCCGGTGGGGAGGCCTGGGGGACAGTACACGGGCAAGGATAAGTCACAGTGGAAGGCCAGGGATGGAAAGACAGGAACTCAGGTGGTAACTCTTGGATTCAGACTTGGGGCCACCAGGGCTCTCTCCCTTCACCTGCTGGTAGAGGTCGATGCGCTGGGTGCGGAAGACTCCGCTGTAGGTAGAAGGCGGGGCCTTGAGACGGGAATTCAGGCCCGAGAAAGACCTACGGGAGGAAGGCTGTTGAAGGCAAGCCTGACACCTGCTCCCTGGTCCCCTGAAAATGCCATTAAGGCTGGGAAATCTGCATCCCCGCTCCCTCTTCTTGCCTTCCAGTTGGGGGAGTACGTGACGACCCGGGTCCCCCAAGGTTGCTGCTCAGTTTCCGATAATCCTGGAAAGGCTTCAGTTCCACTGGGTGCAGCTGAAGGAAATAAATTCGTGAGCCTCCTGCCTCTCACCCCAACTCCTGAGATCCTGAATCCCTACCCCGAGCTCTTGGGAGATCCCCAGCCCTTCAGTTCCTGTACCTTACCTCTGCTCGCCCCAAGCTAGGGGGGAAAGGTCTGGCAGGTGAAGGCAGCACCCGAGTAGCAGGAGCAGGTGGGGGCCGCACAGCCAGGCTGGGGGGCTGCAGAGCAGGGCCCACAGGTAACAGAGAAAGGGGCGGTGGGGCAGGAGGTGGCGCTGGTGGCAGGGAGCCAAAGTTCACCACAGGCAGCTGTGAGTCCACCATGGGTAGAAGCATCTACAGGAAGAAATGCGGGGGGGGGGGGGGGGTGCCCAGGGAAGAAGATCAGAAAACCAGCAATACAGTAAGACAAATAAAAAAGCCAGAAGCTGGATAGAGAAGTAGAATGAAGAACAAGAGGCATGACAAAAGGTACCTGCTGGGCAGGGGCCCCTGAGGCGAGGAAGCCGCTTTGGCCACCAGGTTGCAGAGGAGTAGAATAAAAATCTGAGGGGGATGGCAGATCCTGGCGCACCTGTTGGGGACCACGGGGACCAATGTCAACTCCCCCAAAAGCATTCCCTCCCTTCCAACTCCTGAAGCATAGCACCTGCCCACCTCTCACCTGAAGCAAGGGTGGGTCGGGCAAAGGGCTGGGGCAGAAAGCTGGAGAGTAAAGGAAGGAAGGTGGAGGGTACAGGATTCCTCCAGCTGGCAACTTCCCCAGCTCTGTTGCTTGCAGTGCGGAGAAATCCAAAAACTGGCCCTTGACAGCTACCCCAGAAAGCAGAGCCGAGGGGGGCGCTGGGCCCGGGGGGAGGTACAGGGGCTGTGATCTGGAGAAGGAAGACCAAAAAAAAAAAAATTCAGATGCAGGGGGAGGAGTCAGAAAACCAGGATCATTTACTCCTTTGTTCTGAGCTAAGTCTACCAACTTTGGTAGCTTTGAAACATATCTTCCCCCTTCCCTCCCACGGAAACCCTGTTCCCCCCTTTCCTTCCTCTAGTCTTACCTGTAAGGGTGAAGGGAGGGTGTCCCAGGGCGGAAACCTCCATTGTTGGGATGTAACTGAGAGTCTATGGCTCCCCCCGAGACCTGTGGGAGGGCAAGGCTGAAGAGTTCCAGTTTTCCTGGTCAAGGAAAGATCGCCCACCCCACCTACTACAGTAAAAGCCAGGAGAAAAACGAAATCACAAATAATGACGGTTTACAACTACACAAATTGGAAAGGCTGGACGGTGAGGGACAGCAGGCAAAAGGGGGTCATGGGACAGGAAGCAGGACCTACCTGCGAACTGGGAAGCCCGGGGCTGCCGTAGAAGACCTCAGGGTACAAGCGCTGGCCTGAGGAGCTGGGCTCTGGGCCACAGTGCCCAGAACCCAGGTTCTTGGATTGTGGCTCAGCTGAGGCAGAAGCACTGGGGAGCAGCTCCCAGTCTCGGGATATGGGAATGGCCTGTGAAGAAACCTGGTCAGGAGCAGTGTTGACTTCCTGGACGTCCAGGTCACCCCCAGTCGTTTTCCCTAGAAACCGAAGGCCCTTCCACAGAACGCACTCACCTCAGTGACTGCTGCTAGCTCCTTCTCCGCTTTTAAACCGTCTCCGACCACTAGGCGCAGGTCCGAGTCCTGTGGTAGTGACGCAGCGGAGATCGACCTGTGACTCAAGATGTGCATCCCCCACATCCCACCTCCGGTCCTTCCCTTCCTCTCTGCCCACCGCGAGATACTCAGATCCTGCCCCTGCACACCTTGTCACTGGTGCCAAACTGGACAGGGGGGCCTGGTCGATGAGATGGCCGGAGGGAGCCAGGCTCTGGGCCTCGGTCTGTCCGCGGCAATCGTTCTGTGCCAATCGGGCCGGGGGGCAGAGGCTGCTCCCGGGGCAGCTCCTGGTTGGGGAAGTAAAAGGAAGCCCAAATGAAGGAATGCCCAGAACACACAGGCAAAGGGAAGGAGAACACAAACGTAGGGCCAAAGTCAGAACCCCGAAAACATTCCTCTTCTCTTTTCTTGCGTCTTTTACCTTTCTGTCCCCATCGTGGGGAGCAGGTGGCCGTCTCCTAGGAGCTTCAGAGGGTTCAGAGCCAGGTGGACCCTCACCAGGAACAGCATTCAGGGGTGAGGGGCCTCCAGGCCGCTTGGGAGGCCCCTCTGCTGCCCCCTTGAGTCCTCCATCAGGGGAACTTCGCTGGCTGCAGGGACCTGACGACACCTGAGAGTCCCCACTCAGGTCCACCCCACTGTCAGACTGACTCATCTGAGAGGAGTGGAGAAGCAATTAGTGAAGTCAAGGTAGAAAGCACCCCAACACCTAGCTGATGCTCACAAATACACAAACTGAAGAAAGGAAAGAAACGGAAGTGAGTAGCCCCAGACAACCCAGAACAGGTGGGGAAGAATCCCAGCCCAGACACTCCCTCCCATCATCACTTACCTCTGTTCCAGCCACATCCTCAAAAGGGCTCAGGGGTTCCATCCAGGGCTCCACGGAGCCAGACCGGTAACTCTTCCGGCTAGTGGCTGCGAAGAGCACCAGAAAACAGAGGTTGAGAGACTGTCCCGAGACCACCCTGCCCTCTCCGCCCTCTGACGTAGCTCTCCCCCATCCCCCCAGGCTTACTCACCAGTATGTAAACGGTTCCAGATGTGAGGAGTCAGGGCCTCAGTCCCTGCGTCTCTGCACTCTCCCTGGGGGCCTGGGCCCTCAGGCTTCGGGCCCAAGAATCCAGAGCTATGAGAAGGTGGCAAAGACTCCTAAAAGTGAGAAAAGCCAGAGACAAAACACAAATGAGGTGCGAACTGGGGACTGGAAGAGACTGGGCCAGAGTGCGGCAAAAAAGGTGACAGAAGGGAGACAGGCAGTGACTAATATTGAGAATTTGGGGACAGGACACAGTGATGAGAACAAGGAAATGGAGAAAATGTAAGCGAGAACCTTCAGGAGTAAGAGCAGTAAAGCACAACCTCAAGCTCCATCCCTCACCTCCTGCAGCAGCTCTGGTTTTCTGGGAGGCCGCTCCCGCCGTTTTGGGGGGAAGGAATTAACCCCAGCAGAGTCCCGGGGAGTCCCGCTCACCCCCCGCACCATCAGCCCTGGCTCCTCGAAGTGAGGGTCTAGGGAAAAGGGAAAATCCATCAGCCGTCTGCTTTGCTCTATCACTGACCCTAGCTTTTCCTGTTAGCCCACCTCCCAGCCCTTCCCCCCTTGCTCAGTCCAGACACCCAGCATCAGGGCCCCCAAGCCAGACGACTCCTCTCTGCCACCTGACCTT